CAGAAACCTCACCCTTTTCCTTGATCAGCAGGAAACACTAACTCCTACTTCCCCTAGAAAATTGCTGCTTTCCCCTCCCCAATGTGTGTTCCTGAACAGAGCTGACACCCCAAACCCAACTGAAGTGGCCGAGATGAAAAATTCACTCTGGAGATGATGAGTTGCGAGAGGCCAGAGTTCCACGGGACAGCTCCCGTGGGAGTGAGTGGAGCTTCTGTAATTAAGGGGCCTGAACAATCCTGAAGGAGGCCACGTTGGCGGGAAGGCTTTTTAATGTCTCCCAAAGTTAGAAGGAAAAAAAAAATCAGAGTGTAATTATGGGGTCTGATGGCTTTTTTATAACCTAGTCTTTAGGAACAGTCAATCAAGGTTTCCTTGCTAGAGCATTTTACAAAATAAATCAATATCTCATTTATTAAAAATTAAGAACCCATAAGCTTCTAATACATGAGTGAAAAAGCAGGGAAACAGTGTAGCTATGAAGGCTTGGGGGACCTGGAGGGGAAAAAACACAACGTACATTTATGATTCTAAATATACCACAAAGTTCAGGGCGTTGTCACACGGCACCACATGGCATCAGCACAATCAGGTGTTCTTACTTTTACTTTACGAGCTGCAGACCATAAGTTAGGGCTGATTTGCACTCTGTTTCTTCTAAATCACAGGCTCTAGCCTTGGAAGCAGGAGAGTAAAGCAGGAACTCACGGAAGCTGGAGAGGATAGGCAGCTGGTGATCCTTTGAAATGGAATGGGAAACAGAAAACATGACGGAGCGCAGACTTTCCTTATCGACTTTCCCATTTGTGGATTTTGAGTGGGTTTCTCCACCCAAGAAGTCCTCGGCCCTGATGGAAAACAAAAAACACCCAGTTCTTCTTCCCCTCCCTGTCCTGTAACCACTAACTGTAAGCACAACTGTCCCCTGGCTGCCCGGCCCACAGCTCCGTCACTCACTGGCTCATTGTGTCAGTACCTTTAGACACAGGTTCTCAAACTTGCCTGGGCAGCTGAATCACCTGGGGAGTTGGTTTTGGTTTTTTTTTAAATACTGATGCCTTGGTCCCATCCCCCAAGATTCTGATGTAATTGATATGGGGTGCAGGTTGGGCACTGGGGTTCTTAAACTCCCTATGTGATTTTGATGTGCAGCCGAGTTTGAGATCCACTCCCCTAAGACAAACGTTCTCCAAGTGTGGTCCTCGGACCAGCCACGTCAGGATCCCTCGAGAGCTGGCTAGAAAGGCAGATGCTCTGGCCTCACCTCGGTCAGAAATTCTGGGGTGAGCCCTGCAGCTTGTGTTTTAAGATCTTTAGGAGATCTTTAAGTCTGAGAACAATTGCCTTAAGTAAAGCTGTGCAAACACACGAACTGCGTTGACACCATTTGTGTAGCAACATCACATCTCCCGAACCGTCTTTTTCAGGAAGCAGCAAAATAGGAGGGGAAACTGTGGGCTTTGGAGTCAGGCCAGACCTGGGTTTGTGTCTCAGCTCCGTCCTCTGTGAGCTGTGTGAGCTGAGACAGACATGTGGTTTAGCCTCTCTGAGCCGCAGTCTCCTCAGTTCTGAAACAGCGGAATTTTTCTCTGCTCCATAAAACTGTTGTGAAAGTGAAGTGGGGTGAGAGCGTCTAGAACTGACTTACGGAGCACTTCTAATCAGAACTTAGGTCCCTGCTCTCCGCGTCCTCCCTGCCGTCCCAGAGTTCAACAGGCAGTAGGGAAGAGGCGTGACATCTCCCTGCGAGCTGGGGTCTTCACTTTCTCACCAGTTCCTAGACACTCTTTCCTATCCTCTTCTAACCGCACTGTTTATTTTCACCTGAACCAGCAGCGCGGCGCAGGACTTCGCCACCAGGAGTCCCAGGAACTGGGCCCCATCTATGAAAGGCCGATGAAGGAGAGTCTGCCTGTGGCCTCATCGGTGGATGAGGGACAAAATGGCCAGGTCACTCAAACCCAGGCAGACCCTTCCCCAGGGCCCCCGCGGGGGTAGCTAGTTATTCTGAGGCCCTCCAAGTCTTTAGACGCGGTTTCCTATTTGACTCAGACACATTGCTTACTTTATTCCAATAATTCCCCTGCTCTGACTGGTTTTTCGACTTCGTATTTTAACAGGGATTTAATTTCCCATTGCTGTCTAAGGAAAAGTCGCCCAAGCGCATGCTCTCCCAGACAGCCGGGTCCCTGCAGTATCATCTTGTCACTGACAAGCAGTATCGACAAGTAACATCTGAACAGAGCGTTATTATTCAGCCTCATGATCTCTTTAACTCCAGCTCATCCTCACAAGTCAGTGAGAGAGGCAGGATTATTATTGCCATTTTACAGATGAGAAAACAGAAGCTCAGAGAGGGTACGTGACTTGTCCATGGTCATGCAAATGGCAAGCAGTGGAGCTGTCTTTCTGAACCACCCCTCATGTTCTTATTTTAATTATCATGATGTTATAATAATGATAAGGAATCATAGCAACACTTTGAAAATACAGAGCACCTGAGAGATACACAGAATTGGCTACTGAAAGACAGGTGTCCCAAGATTTCTGTACAAAAGCTGGATCCAGAATATCTATCGGTAATTCTCTTCTCTCCAACCACCGCTCCCTGCACTTTCAGTCCCTTCCCCTCATTGATTTCAATATTCTTAGTTCCTGGAATAATGAGACTGATTTCACGGAACACCTAATCGTGTTTTCCAATTTTAAAGGTACTTGCTTAAAAACTAAGAGAGGAACGACACTGAAATTACCAGGCGCCCCAGAGCCACGCCTGTTGTAGGAGCGGCAACAGCGGCAGTGTCCCTGGGGGACAACCAGGATCTCAGGGCTCCCCCAGGGCCAGCGAATCAGAGCTCAGCGCTGAGCCAGACCCCAGGTGATTTGTCCTCAGTCTGCAGCTCTGAACCAGCTCCCAGGTGAAGCCAACGCCTCTGCTCTCCTTCCGGAGCTGGGTCCTAGAACCTGTGCCCTTTCCGCTCCTCCCTCCAGCTCTCAGCCTCGCGTCTCTGTGCTGTGGCGGAGTTGGGAAGGGATGAATCTGACCTCTATCCTGTGACCCACACCGACACCTCCTGCCTGAGCAAAAGCGGAACGCAGGAGAGGCTCCATAAGTGCCCCCAGGCAGCGGCCCTGCAGAGGCACCTAGGGTTTACAGCTGCAAAGGGGGTGCACTCAGTTTCACATCGGGAGTCTCTCAGCCCACCTGCACGTGGCAGTGGGAGAACCTGCCTATGCAGCTGGTCTCAGTGTCTCTCTGTACCCGTGGCGAGACAGGGGAATAGCTGGGATGAGCTATGGCTGCAGTGGATCTGCTGTCGTTCCGGACCATGGTTCTAAAGCCACATCAGGTGAAGATGGCATAGTTTATGGGAAGTTTTGTAGACTTTTCTACACACACACACACACAAAATGGTGAGGTGATGGATGTGTTTAACCTTACTGTGGTAATCATTTCACAATTTATACATGTATCAAATCATCACAAGGTGCACCTTAAACTTACACAATGTCTTCTGTCAATTATACCTCAATAAAGGTGGAAAATGTATTTAATGATTCAGGGTTTGTATGTTCAACGTCTCTCTACACAATGACTCATGGTCTTTTTTTTTCCTCCAGTTTTTATTTTCTTTTCAAAAGATGGATTAACTTTTCATCATGTTATCTGAGAGATTTAGTCTCATAAAAGAAGTGGTTAAATTGTTTATTAATAGTTTCCTTTCCTATATTAATATATTTATATGCATACATGCACACATATGTATAGATACACACACCTATACATCTTTGCAGTTTCTCAACCTGTCCTCTTACATCGGAACATTTAATCAATAAGATCTTTTTTTAAGTTTTTTTTTTTTACAATTTATTCTCTTCTCAGAGCTATAGTTGCTGTCCTTAAATAGTAGATCTAAATATTATAGATTATTTTTACCTTTATGAAAAAAACCCATCTTACAAAGGAGGAAGTGAAGAAAAGAAAAAGCTAGACAAGCATGGCCTTAAACACACTGGACTCCGTAACAATTACCATTAAAAGTTTACCCCTCATTAAGGGATGCTGAGTCATGCGACAGTTCAAACTGAAGTTTAAATAAAATCATCAGACAGCTCCTCTTCCTTTAATAATTTCTCCCCTTCTTAATAGTGCCCTTTACAGCGAAATGCAATATTCACATTTCTGAGAAATATACTGAGGGAAGGAACAAGCACAGGATGATTGCAGGTGATGCTTGCTTTCAGGACGGCCCTTCCCCTCAAGTCTCAGGTTCACAACTTAGGTGTTTATAACCCACGGGGAAAAGAAGACAGGCAGCTCAGCCCATGTCCAGCCTGAAGCAAGACTGCTTTGCAGATGCCCCAAGGCCCTCTACAAAAGCCTGGAACTGGAGCTCAGGAGTGCTCACTAGCCACCTCTCCCCACCGGGACTTAAACTCAGACTGTGCAAGCGGAGAAGGAAGGTAGACGGAGCAGAATAAAGAAGGTTATTGTGTATCACTCTTCCCTTGTTTTCACCTTTCCCTTTGCTAAGTCGGCTCATGTTTTATTTCAACTCAGTTTCTTCACTAAAAAATAGAAATAAATAAAGATCTGATCTATACAACGTGTCCATCTCAGGCTTCACCAGCCAATAAGCACAGACTGAATTTTAGTGCCCAAACCTTAATGGCTCCAAGCCCTGTACGTATTTAACTGCAGGCCCACCCCATGCCATCACCAGGGTAATTGTCTTGTTATGACTCATCACCGCCGCTGTCTAAACTCACACTCTGTATTTCATGGACAGTCTGCAACCCTGCCTCCATGTTTCCAGGGAGAGACCATTCTGACTGTAGAACACAGCTGCCGTCTCTTTTGCTGTTGCCTGAATCCTGCAGGAATTGAAAATCAGCTGTTCTCCATGTCAAGGAAAGTGGAACTTGACCTCCCGACTGGGAGCCAGAGATCCTTATCACCACTCCTGCCCAGTCAGAAGCCGAGGGTGGGGCTGGGAAAGTCAAGGGAGGAAGACAAGGTTTCCTGCAGAAATTCAGCTGGAGCCTCAAAACTCCCCAGCCGTGAGTGATCCAACTCTTTCCTCTGCCCCAGGTGGTGGGTCTGAGCCTAGATGAGTAGCCCACAGGCTAGCAGGTCCTCAGAGACACAGCTCTGAAGGTGGAGATCCGCTTGCCTCCCTGCCGTGGTGAGTATCGCCTTCACCTGACTGAGGTGAAACGAGCTCAGGGCAACACTTTTGAAGTCAAGGGTAGAGAATGACTTCATTTCTGGTTTGAAGGGGAGTTAGGTCCCCAGAGCAAGATTACATAAGCCGCCCTCAAGTATTTAGGGATATGTTCTTTCAATATATAAACACATACACACACACACTGCTGGTGTAACTGGTTATGGCAAAATAGAGATGGAGGCAAATTATTTGACATGCTTCCTGAGGAGATATGGGGCCCCTGTGTCCTTGCCAACCCCCTCCCCCCAAATCTGGCAGGCCTTTGTTTGACTAAGAGAGTAAGGACGGTAGAAGTGAAGCTATGCTGAGTCTGGCTCTGGCTTTTTTTTTTTTTTAATAGTTTTTCTTTTGGGGGGGCGTAATTAGGTTTATTGGTTTATTTATTTATTTATTTTTAATTCGGTTTTTAATGGCACTACTGGGGATTGAACCCAGGACTTCATGCATGCTAAGCACATGCTCCACCCCTGAGATACACCCTCCCCCTTGGCCCTGGCTTTTAAGGAAACTGGCAGCCTTGGCCTTGGCCACTTGGAGCCCAGCACCACCCCTTAAGAAATCTGACGCCCTTACTTGAGAAACTATGTGCGGAGGCCCTGAGACTCCACGGAGGAGGAAAGGGCCCAGTGGAGTCCAGCCTTCCAGCCATGCCTGCCAAGGCCCCAGGCATGCGGCTGAATGCCATGGAGTGACCCCAGTCACCTCGACACATTGCAGAGGACTCAACCGAGGCCCGCTCGGTATAAAATGACTCATATAACATGGTCATTGTTTGTAAGCTGTGGAATCTTCTGTTATGCAGCAATAGGTTCCTGGTTCCCTGGATGATGACAAATTCTGTAGGAGCCTCCAAGCTCTATTCAGAACTCCCATTCCCTTTCGAGACCTTGGCCTGTTCCTTGTCTGTCCCTTCTCACTTGACTGCTTTCCACGGGCTGCAGGCCCTCGGGGCCCTCAGATATATAGTCATCATGGGACCAACCAGGGTCATTAGATGAGTTTCAACTTTTCTCCTACTGGTTGCAATTACTACACACAAAGAGAGGCCCTCCATGTGTTGGACGCCCATCCTCCGCTCAGCCAGGATACCTGTTACACCTACTATACCGGTTGCCGTGATTGCTGTTTTAAAGCTTTTTTTTTTTTTTAAGGAGATGAACATGAATCTGGAGAAAAAAGTAAATATTTTCAAAATTTTTCTTCTTAGTATTTGAGTGGAAGGAAAGATTCAGGGATGCAAAGTGCATGCATCATTAGGGTGCTTGAATCCTTCCTTATTTTTGCTTTGTAATCATTATGTTTTCTCTTCCCCAAACCTCAAGTCCAAAGGCCTGTGCTGGATTTCAGGGTACAAATCCAAATGTTTCCAGGTATGATTCTCCGTTAGAGCTATTTTCTCCTCATTTTCTCTTTCTCGGCCCCTGCTAAAATTAGCGTTCCTAGCTGGAATCCGACGTTCACTCAGTGTGTTGCTCTGGCTCTGACTCAGACGCCAGGAACACCTTTTCAATCTGGTTCCCTGGGTGTCGGCATTGATGTGCTGCGCTGGTTCACGGGTATGATGTTCAGTGATGCGTAGTTCTTTCTATTCTAAGGGGCTGCTTTGGACTGTTCAGCAAGAAAGACTGAGCAGCAAGGAACAGCCTAATCTTTCCCTGCTGACAAAGAGAATGTGGATGCCATGCTTCTGGATTCACAGCACTGATGCTCGCCGCCTGCGGTCAGCGGGGTTCGGGTGTGGCTCCCCGCAGGCGAGAGCTCACGGGTCCCCAAATGGCCTTTTCATTAGATTTGGGCACGAAGAGACCTTTTCTTAGCTGACTTGAAGCAAGGAGAGGTCAGGAATTTGATGGGTCAAAGTTACCATGTTCCATTTATCAGGGGATCTTTATTTTCTGATCCTCTCACATCAAGCTGTAGGGTGTTTGTGAAAAGCACAGAAAGAAATCAAGTCGGAGAAAGAACTGAATGGGCTAGTTAGGACTTCTTGTTTCAAGTTATGGAAAAGCTAGGGTGGCCATATGATTTATTATCCAAAGAGGACACTTTGAGAGTGAAAGGAGGCAATAATAATTATTATATAATTATAATATATACATTATATAAGTATAATATGTAAAATAATATCTAATAATTGCTAATAATTATTCCAGAACAACAGGTATAAACTTGGATTGTCCTGGGCAAACGGGCCTCATTTCCACCCGTAAAATACCCCAGCTCAAGTTGTCTTGGGCAATACAAGGGGTTCTCTGGCCCACAAAACAAGAACTCCAGAGGCTGGGTGGGCTTAGAAGTAGCTCAGCCAGTTTCTTCCCAGGTCTCCCATCTGCCTCCCATCCCATCTGGATGGTAGCTTCATGCTGAGACTGGCTCTTGCCTTGGTCATGGGACTGGCGCCAGGACAAGTGGGAGCTCTGTGCTGCTGTTCTCACATTCGGCAACAGGGGGAGCACTTCTGTCCAGCCTTCCAAACAAGAATTTCCAGGTTCAGACCCTTAAACATCAGGCGCCCACCACTGTACAAAAGACATGGCAGAGGAAAGGGCACGCCTCGATGGGTTTCAACCAACAAGAGCCCACCACTGGAGCTGTGATGGGGCAGTTTGGGGATGAGTGGCATTTTCATTAAATCTGGGTGATATTAAGATAGGAGAGGGGGATGAATACTGGAGGACAGCAGTAAACGTCAGCTCTGTTGGAGACAAGGCTGAAATTTAATCAGGCGACTCCTTTTATGCTGTGGTAGTGTTACGAGGGAGACTTCCTAGGTGTAAATCCAGGTTCTACCACTTACTAGCCATGTGACCTTGAACAAGTTGTTTAACTCAAATCTCCTTTTCCCAGTTAGGACAATAAGATATTGATAATATCTGACTTCTATAGTTGTTATGGGATTAAAGGAAATAATATAAGCAAAGTGCTTATGACATGGTCTGGTGCATAGTAAGTACTTAATAAATATTAGCTTCTATTGTAATTGGTCATTGAAGTGACTTCAGAAAGGTGTTCACGGGAATTTGTAAAGAAATGCTAAGGTATCAATAATAGAGAAATCTATGTACTTGGCTGGGGATGAAATGAAGGCAGATATAAGAGGCCGAGGAAGTAGCAGAGTCAGAGCTGCAAGGGGAGAGGGGAGGCATGGCCCCAAGTAAGCAGAAGAACAAAGTCAAGTTCCAGAAAATGCAAAATGGCTCCCATCCAAGAGAAGTCTGTCATCCTTAAGCATCACGACAAACTCTCTTAAAAGCCTTTTCCAATGCGTCATGGTCAAGCAATTCTCCCTCATATTCAGGATAAATCCCTCTGGTTGTCACGTAAGTGCATTGTAAGTCTTCACACAGGATGAAGCATGAGCAAAGGTTGAACAGACACGGAGAGCTAAGATGGAGCTTTAGAGACGTAGTAGAGACAAGTGACAGGCTGAGCAACATCCATTTTTTAGTGACAGGGAGGAAAGGGTAGTGTCAGATGCCAGCTGTGATAGTGAGCATGAACGACGAGGGAGACCATGGTATCTGTGACAACGAGGGAGCGGGGAGAGGTTGGGCTGCTAGATAAGGAGCTGGATTTATAAACATAAGGTCGTGGTATGCTGGGGCTTTGACAGTAAAATCAGAAAGGTGCCAGAGCAGTAACGGAGACATGTTCTTTTCCTCTCTGTCCCTTCTGAGATAAAAAGGTGGTTAAAAAGAGAGGAGGGGGAAAATGTTGCCAATCGTGAGAACTTTGTGCAATCTGGACACATTCTGTCAACGTTTACGAATTAGAAAATCATCAAAAATGGATACTATCAAGAAGTCCTGCTTTTTGGTGTGCTGGGAGGGGGAGGGTTAGTGGTTTTTCTTTACTTTTCAGCAGCTTTGCTAACAAAAGTGGTCCCTTTTTGCAGCAGCTGTCAATCAAGTGAGCCTTCTGCCTGATAAATGCGGTCTGAACTGTTCACCACAACCACGCATGTGCAGTCACTGCAGATTTTGTTTCCCTGTGGATTTTCTAGGATATGAGTCTCTTATATTTAAAAAGAAGTTATATTTTCTTATGAGAGATGGTTTCAGTGAAAGACAAACTGAGTTACCCACATTTTGGTGGTTAATATAACTGCATTAAATGGAACTTCTCAAAAAAATTAAATGCATTTTCATTACAAAAAGATATCCAGGGCTTTGTAACTACTTAACTGAACTTGCTATGCACATAGCACGTGGTCCTCATTTTGCATCAAAAATAATAAAGGATAAGGATCTACCTCTGAAGTTTGCGCTTTGGTTTGGAAGTAGAACTATCTAGTTGTATAACTGGTAGAAAATTGAAATCCCAAAGAGGATTATGTCCCCTGAAAAGAGGAGAATATGAAAAGAATTTTTTTTTTCTGTTTTTGCTCTCCCAGAATACTTTGTTTGTGTCACAAACTGGATTTTTCTTACATACCCATCTTATCTCTATTATCAAATTGATGGCAAACAATGTGCTTTTTTACACACAGTAGTTGCTCAAAAAATGATTGCAAATGAATGAATGAATGAATGAATGAATCTATTATAGTTGAGAAAATCAGAGTCGAGTCCTGAATTTTTGAATGAGAAACATTGAAATATTACATGTATTGATGCAACCTTATGGACACAGTAAGGTTGCATGTTGCATTTTAAAATAGACCTGGTCTTAATTTATTAATATGTTGAAGAATGTAATTCTTACTTAACCACCTGACCTACTACTGTCCACTAGTCTCAATTATTTAACAACTTAAACTGACACTTAATAAGTATGTAAATCGGAAGCACCGAACGTAATGCAGGTATCTTCCTAAGTGCCAATTATATGCCTCAACATTCCCTTCAGTTTGAATGTGTTAGTCAGAATCTAATTACACTGCTTTATAGCTGATGGAATTACAGAAAGAGACGATTTCTCTCCTACATACTTATTAGACCTCAATAAGTGTTCCTTTGCAATCTGTTGCTATTCAATTACCAAGTAATAACTGTCTTAATGAATCTAATTGAAATGCTTATTTCAGACGCAGATCACACACCAAAAAGGAGGCTTCACTTGGAGTGCTTCCCGCAATGGGGCCAGACTTGTTTATCCAGAAAGAAGTGACTTCACTGGGAAGAGGCTCACAGGGTGAGAGCTTTTGCTGAGTTTCAAGGGCATTCACTTCTCCATGGTTCATGTATCATAAAACGTAAGCCCCTCCACAAAACTCTGCTGCTCAAGCCCGTGCCTGCACCAACGCACCACACAGTCTTTAGCCAGCATGCTTCTCTTACAATGAGAAATGCTGGTTTAGCTTTCTCCATGAAGACGGAATAATAATAAAGATGTAAGTATCAATAGCTAATGTGTACAAGGTATTTCCAAGTGCCAACGCTGCCTTTACGTGTAGAAACTCATTAATCTCCACAAAGCCCCAAAGAGGGGTATGTACTGTTATTGTGCCCGTTTAACAAATGGGGAACCAGGAGAGTTTATTTTTTGGAGAAGGGCATATTCACACAGCAAATAGGTGGTGGAGCAAGTCCAGATTAACTGGCTCCAACCATGTAGACCCACAAAAGCAAGGTTTGAATGTTAGAGCTTAGTTGATGCAACCTCTTGTTACTCTGGAAATTGAGGGCTGAGGCTCACACAGCAAAGACGGGTCTGGATCCTGAGCTCCAGCCCTGTGCACTCTGACCTAAATGATGCTGCATTGTTTAAAAACAACAAAATAACTGCAAAACGAAAACAACAAGAAAACTCCTTGACTTTGATGTTCTACCTCATACTCCCTCCTGTCTCCCTCCATCTTTTTCTAATTTTTGTTTGGATCAGCAATTGGGTTTCAAACTCATTTATCTCAAGCCGATGATAGAATTTGTTTGAAAGAATTATAAGAGGGCAGCCCAAAACAATACCACTGTGCTTATTTTTCTTAAAGGAGAAATTTAAATTTTATTGGCACAAACTGGAATGTGAAATGGATTCAGGGAATCGTAGATCACTGACAATTCACCCTTTTTTACACAGATTCCCCATGAGGCTGCCCCATTGAAAACCACCCTTGGAGACCTGGGTTGGCCACAGAGCTGTTGACACAGATGTGCTAAGCCCGGAGACTCACTGAAAGTCAAGATAACCCTAGCAGGATGTGGTCCTCCTCAGACTGTGTCTCATAGTCTCACTGATGGGCAGATAGCACAGCACAGTCCAGCTTCGGGATGTGCGTACCCTGCCTGGAGTTTCTTCTCCAGAAATGATGGTGTGGTCAGGAGATACCACAGTGATTGCAAGGATTTCTACTAGAACAATGTCTCTGTGGAATTTACAAGGATTTTTATTTTTATTTTTTTAACATTTTTATTGATTTATAATCATTTTCCAATGTTGTGTCAAATTCCAGTGTTCAGCACACTTTTTCAGTCATTCATGGACATATA